TAAATGCTTTTCATTGAACCAATCATGATTTATCCTAATGTCATCTACTTTAAGCCTCCATTGTAGTTCTAGCTATTTTATAGGAAAACATGTTTTAGGAATCTCTGCCCACCTTAATATAAAAAAGAAGTGACCAAACCTTGAAGTGCCAGATTTCCAATTCAGATAAGACTAAGTTTGGTCTAAATTCATGCCTACTCCAAATGTCTGAATAAACTGGGGAACAGAGTTCCATAGTATCTCCACAGTGTGATCGGTAGAAATAAAAGTACTCAGTACTGAATCCTCTCTTTTCCTTGTTGATCTTCCTCCAGTAAACAGCGATACTTATAATAAAAATCCCAACAGTTTTAATAGGATGCACAAATAAGTAAACTATTCAGTAAATAGAATTTTTCCAGCTGAAAAATGAACAAAGATTTTGGATAGCAATTGAAATTGCATAGTAATTGAAAGCATACTTATTTCTCAAGTTTTCTTTTTAAGTGCACAATGTTCAAAATAAAAGTCTTACAATAATGTGGGTACTCAAAAGCTACTAAGAAATATGAAATCTACATGAAGTCTACAAATGCCGGGAGCCTGGGAGAAATGGAAAAAAAAATTGATCTATGTCTTTGGTGGAAAGTGAGATCTTCTCAGGATGGTGTACATACTATATAGCTGACATACAGTAAAAGAACAGTCAGAAGTAGTATGCACAGTTTAGGTAAGGTAAAATTGCTAAGATAATACTGTGAAATAGCAAGGTGAAAGTAACAAGTGAGAAAAAAATTGAGGAACTTTACTAAATTCAGAGTAATTGGATGATCTTTTATCTCTGAATTCTGCAAGTACTTATACATGAAACTGAAAGTCTGCTTACAAATATTTCCAACACATCAGTCAAATCAGAGGTACCTACTGACAAAAGAAATATAATTGAATACAGTCAAGAGCGCTAAAAGTAGTCCTGGAAATTACAGGGCTGAAGTCTGACCTCAATTATGTCAGACTTTCAGATATATTATTTAAAGAAATGTGTTATACTTTTCCCTATAGAGAATTTAGCTCCAAACAGTTACTGAGAAAGAAAAAACTGCAAAAATTGATATATTCTTAGTATCCTTATAAAATAGGTGACTTAGACCCTGAGCACAAGGAGGCAAGTAAGATTGCTAAGTATCTTTGGATATAAGAATTGCAATGATGTTGCAGGAGCAAGGGAAGATGTGAGAGAAAGTGGTGTGTCATAAATATTTAATAAGTGACTGTAGAAAGTTTCTGAAGAAACAAGTAAAATAGTTATTAAAAATCCCAAAAGATTCATTTAGCAGTGCATGTAGTTAGGATGACTGAAGACCAGGTAGCTAAGCTTTTCTCAGAAGACCTTCTAACCGATGAAAGAGAAATGGAGTTATTAACACAGTATATATACCTAGGTACTTTCAAGTGTAGCTTATAAGCTAAAGAAAAGAGATGAGAGCAAATGGTCACATACACAGTAGAGTTAGGGAGATATATATATATTTGTGTGTGAGAGAGTGTGTGTGTATAAAATTGTTTTTATTATTTAGCTAGCTCTAGACTCATTGTTTGCTTAATAACAGTCTTTCATATTGTTGAGCTTACATTCTTTGGCCAAGAAAGAGCTATTTGTGGTGAAACAAGAAAAACAGCGACCATTCATCTTAATTTCCTTAGAACTATGCTGAACTTTCAGCACTGGTTGCAGAGTGGTTCTGCAGTCATTTCAGGCTCAGCAGAGTGACCAAGGCTTAGGAAACTTGGCATAGGAGTAGAGGAAATTTCTTTGGTTTTTCCAACTCCTTTGTTACTCATGGACAGGTGCAAATACAACAGATGACTGAGGTGTCCTGGCTCAGTCATAACACTTTGCTAAAATCAGAGCTTTAAAATGAGTTATTTGATTTTCAACTTTAGTTTCTCTGACCTAGACCTTTTTGAAATAAAATTTTACTGTTAGTCTAGTGAGCTGTTACTTGCTGAGATATAAGCACATTCAAAATCTAAAATGACAGTTTTGAAACTTTATTTTGGGAGTTAATTTTGTTTTGTCCTAAATGGCAAGTCACAGATCTTTTCTGAGAGTAATGGTAACTTGTCTTAATCTTGAATTGTATCCCACCTGTAGATGTCAGAAAATTTTATACAAAGGTGCAAGTCTTAAATTTGCTTCTACAGATACAGTTGTGAAAGAGTTTATTTTCTTTATCTCACATGGTGGAGCCGTGGGTTCTCCTGCTTATTTTCATTAGGAGTATAAGTATGTCCATCCAGCAACATCAAAATGTTCCATGGCTTCCACGACACACTTAGCATTAGCATTATACTTCCTTATTCATCAGCATCTATGCCAAGAAAGCGTAATGGTAAATGTACATTTAAGTAGCTCTGGGTTCATGGAGCGTTTAGAATAGTAAAAGCTTTGAAATGAATAATTGCTTCATGCAGGGAGCTTTTGCATCCTAAATTGCTCAATGGTTGGACTTTAAAATAGCCTATGTTTCTATTAGTTGATCTCCAGGCACCGTAGAAAAGGCAGCGGACTGTAAAAGGAGTCACATAAGAAAAAAATGCAGCATGGTAATAGCAGGAAAGAGTAGTCAGAACTGTTTCCTCCTGGGAACCATTATGAAGGGAGAAAGGAAACAAGTTTCTTGCCTGCAGATAGTTACAAATGCAATTGAATTTTTATTAAACCACATTTTTGCAATTTTACTTTTAAAATATTTTCATAAGTTCTCCAGAACTTCCCTACAGAACTCAGTTCTCATAATATATTCTGATGAAGAAAATCAACATGCAGTACCATTGAGTGTCATTTTCCCTACTTGCTGAATAGACATGTTAATATTAGCATAGGTAAGACTTTTCTTTGATTTAACCAATGTCTTGCAAATACAAGGTCTGCCCTGCATTGCATATTTAATCTACGCTATATGGCAAGTGTAAAATTCATTCTGGACATGAGCATCCCATTGCAAGTGCATGGAATAGGCTGAATATAAGAGCATGACTACGGTTTTTCTTACGGCTTCTTATTTAGCATACAGAGCTTTTGCAATATTGATTAATTTATTTATTTATTGTAAGAGAGAATTAGGAGTTTGTGAACCTATTCAATATTAAGTAATTGTAGAAGATAGCATATTAAAATAAAAGACCACAGTAGTTAGACTAACTCCCACTATGTAGATGCATGATAAAAACACAGAGAAACTATCATCACCAGACTAGAGATTTTCATTTGTTTATTTTTTTTCTTTTGACTTTTTAGTCTACTGTAGCAGTCTACTGTGTTTTGGATGTTCTGTCAGTGTCAACTGAGAAAGTGATATTTGTTGACTATTCCAGTAATTTTTAAGAAAGTAGCTGAAAGATGTGGATTTTGTGGTCATATTATCATTATTGTAGTTTAATGTCAACTCTTCAAGTCTTTGAAACAAGTATATAAATTATATTGTAAGTTGTATTATGCATTTATATATATAAAAAAATTATGAAAATTGTATAAATATATATTGCTTTTTTGAACATCATATGAATGCAAAACAATAATTGTTCTTCTCAAAACTGTTGTTTCCTGATATCAGTATCCTACTATTATAGTAACCGTCTATGGATACTTTTTATTATCTTAATCCTGCCACTTCCATTGTTTTGTTCTTGGAAACACCCAGTGTTGTTTTCAGTCAACATTTCTGTTCTAATAAGAACAGTCATACTAGGCTATACCCAAAGTCTGAAATAGAGCAGAAAGATAAGATCTTGATGAGTAGAAATAGAAATAGTTCAGCAATAGCCTTGAAACTGGTGTCCAGCAGTGAACATCAGTATTTAAGAAAATATGTAAGGTCCATACATATTTATTTGTCAAGGTCTTTGTCTATTATACTCAATTTAGGACTTTCTGAACCATACTATCAATGGACTCATTCCCTCTACATTTGTTTTTTCTATATATATTCTAATATATATTTTGAACCCATTTATCCGTTTATTCTTCACAATATTCTCATAAAAATAAATGCTGCATTTATTCCGTGTTTTGAGTAAAAAACAAAAGAATTCTTCCCTTTTTGTTTTATAACATTGTTTTATAACTTTATACTATGCCAATTGTATCTGGTAGTGTGTGAAATAGTTAACTAACTTCTCTATTAAGGTTTCCCATATCATTCCTGTTTTTACCGAACTCTTTGTTTGTCTCATATATTGATGTTTTCTTCTTCAGACAGAATACTGGACTGTTCAGTTTCTCCTAAAATAGATGATAAACCATATCCCTAATTAATCTTGTGCAGTATCTTAACCTTCTTATGTTCTATCAATACATGAAAATTTAGTTAGATAGTGTATTTGAAAAGAACCAAGATTCTGCAGAATGAAACTTTGTATTTCCTTTACAACTTTTAAATTATATTACCTTTATCTAACTTCATAATGATATACAACCAAAGCCAAAATTAACGAAACTATTTCCATATAATTTTAAGAGGTGGTGTGATTTGTGTTCTGCACCAGTCATAGCTCAGTGAACTATTTGCAGTAAACAATTTATTTGTTTAATTGACTCTCTTTTTCTCTTTGGGCATTGTCTTTGAACAGGCTTTGGTTTTTAAGAATCTGTTTGCTATTCAAAGTTATTCATGAGATGGCAAGTAAATATGTTTCAGCCTCTAGATTATATGTGAATAATTTGCCACAACTGTTGTTCCAGGTTTACTCTTGTTTTTTCAATTCATGCAGTACAATTTTTTTTCTAAACTAGGTAGTGCTGCTTTCCATTGAGGAGGGCAAAACACTGTGTAGAACGTGAATTTGGTAGTAACATTAGAAACATCTGTTTGCTGAACATATGACATTCATATAAGTTTGAGAGTTTTTTTTTCTTTCTTCCTACTGCAGATGATAGATAAAAAAATAGATACTCATTTTTATTTCTGTATTTCTGAGTTCTTGTTTTATTAATTTTTTTTGTGTCTGGGTTTTCTTAGGTTATATTCAGTAGGAGGTCGGGATGGAAGTTCATGCTTGAGTTCAATGGAATATTATGATCCTCACACAAATAAATGGAATATGTGTGCTCCAATGTGTAAGAGAAGAGGAGGAGTAGGAGTGGCTACATGTGATGGATTTCTTTATGCAGTTGGAGGCCATGATGCTCCTGCTTCTAATCATTGCTCCCGCTTGCTGGACTATGTAGAAAGGTATCCCATTAGTATGTAAATGTACAAGTTTTTTTTTTTTTTTTTCCAAATACAAGATGAAATCTGGAAGCATCATTTTCTTAGTTAAATTATGGTGAAATTAAACTGATGTTTGCCTACTTATACATGATGTTTGCCTACTTATACTTATACCTACTTATTTACTTGAAAAATTCTACAGGGGTTTGTAGAAAACAATTTATTTGGAGATTATTTCCTTTCCCTTTTTTTCACAGTATTGTTATATATTATCATGGGCACAAAACTACAATCTTTTCACATCTCCTTTAAGAAGATATTACACATTGCAGAGTCATAAACTAAACATTGCAGAGATAAAAATTTAGGCTTGAAACAATTTTGTAATACCAACTTATGTTTAGATGTATTTAGTAACTTTTAAGCTATAGCTAAGCAAAGAAGAAAAATAGAATTGCTTAGGTGATGATTATTTACAGCACACTACAGTACTTCCTTTGGCAGCACTGCCACTTCCTGATATATTGATAAAATTCTACACACTACACTTATAGTACCCTGAATTTTGCAAATGGATAGTCTGCAAATTAGGAGTGCCTAGTAAGACAGAAGGGCACAGTTGGAATGATTATAATGTGCAGCTTGAAGATACTATTCAAATGTTTTATGAAGGTTGGACTTTTTACTGTTGAGGGTTTTACATGCTTTAAAATAAAGAGAAATATATCTCCAAATATAGAGGTTGCAAAATTAAAAGTAGATATATTTGAGTAACTGGTTGATCTAGATATGCAGTTAAAGATAGGCACTGGGATTTATTTTTTTCTGGAGCAGTGAAACTTTTATTAAACTTTTATTTACTTTACCTTTATTAACTTTTATTAAATGTCAGTCATAGCTTCTGGTGAATCTGGCTTGGCATTTACCAGTGTCCCAACATATAATCCTTAAGTTATGAATTAAAATTTTCAAACTTACTTCTTAAGTTATTTTGTTTAGTTTTAGACTCTTTCACTTCTTCCAAGCAAAGGAAGTTGCAAAACAGATCACAGACTGCAAAATACTTTAGATTTCCATGTCTCCAACAAATGGAAACTTCATCAGAGAAATCTCAGGTCCATTTTACCTATAGCAGCTGACCTGCTGGCCTTCTACTTATAATAAACAATAACCAGAATTTTCAGGGAAGTTAATATTCATATTAAGACTACTAATGACAATATTTCTAAGATGAAAATCTCTCAATCTTCTTGTACTTACTGGTACTTATAAGAAAGCTTTTTTCCCCCATTTTTAGGTGTCTGCGAAGAAAACCTTTCTAGTGGCAAAGACAAACCACATTCCATCATTTTTGTCTTTTAAAGAGAACTATAACAAGCAGCTAAACCTCATGTGCTTAAAATCTTATGTAATGGCATGTGAATGATAGTTTATACAGTGTTCCTCAAGTAGCTATTTGTGCACTGGTAGCAAAAAATTGCAGATAATGTGCTTGACAGGCAGCTAGTTTTCAGAGTAAAAATTGAAGCTAACAAATCAGAAGTTGTAAGCCTATTAGCTTGCATAGGGTAGGTGTGAATTAAGTGACGGACTCCAGGAAGACAGTCCTTCATAGCCCTACCAGCGCTAGGCATAAAAGGTTGCAGGGAGGCCATTTAGCATGCATATTTTTATATTCAAAAATAATGGCTTATCTTCCAGAAATAAAAACACCTTAGTGACTTAGGAAACCAAGGACTAATAAGCGTTAGTGAGATCTATTATTTTAAGTTATTTTAGACATTTCTGAAAGTTTTACTTTCTGCCAGCATCTATGGCATCAGTCTTTTTTAACTGTGTTTCCCTTGTGCTTCAGGAACAAATCTTTTTTCTCTTTATTACTTCAATCATTTTGTCATTCTGATAGAGCCTGCTAGGGTATACTTTATTCAAATATCAATTTTCTCCCGGAAAACTGTCAAAACACATAATGATTAAAAAAATATTTTTTGAGATTATGAAATCTAGTGAGAGCAGGTATGTTTGTGAATGCTGCTGCTAAGATCCTACTTAGCAGTAATTAGGACTCACAATTTGAACTCTTCTAAGGTTGGATTGTAAAGGATTTCCTATGGATTTGATCAAAAAAAATTATAGTTATATTTTTCTGTACTTCACAAGCTGGGAAAATATAAATTTGTATTCTTTTTAAAGGTACAAACACTAGTTCTCCTTTAAGAACTATATAATTCTGGATATATTTTGGTAAATTGTATAAAGCAACATTCTTTTTCAAAAATTGCTCCAAACGTGACAGCTATTGAAAACATAAGCAAGTGATCTATATTTTTTTCCCTTTCTCACCTTGATGATTTCAAATTGATTTCTTTCCACATTCAGGAACTTTTATTGTAACCCTTCTCACCCTAGGGCATATCTAGTTATTACAAAAATGAAATGTACTGATTTTTTTAGCAAAATAAAGGATATAAGAAAACTCAGACATTTTCCTGGCAATTACAAAAAGCAAGTTCTTGTGGAGTCCTATTTTGTTGACAGAATTGAGTCATAAGCGTGCTATTTAGCCTCTGGGTACCTGTTTATTAAAAAGAAGTCGTCTGAAGATGTCATTTGGTTTGTCTGTTTTGCAGCTCTTCACCTTGGCCCTTGCAATTCAAGAGTACTATATCAAAGAGTCTGTTAAAGTTTATTGCTTTTAGGCAAGTGAAGATGCAATGCATACTGGTAAAGCAGGCTATGAGAGTTTTTCAGCTAGAGTCGTACGATGCTCTTGTTGAAAAAATCACATCATCTTTTAAAAAATCCATTTAAACGAACACCTTTTTTGATTTTTTTACATGGGTATTTCATTTTCTTATATTCAAGCATTGTTTTAAAGTATTCTTCCGTCAAGTTTTAATAGAAAATTATCATAATTCTAATTATTTAACATCACTTGTTAAGGAAAGATAGCAAAAAAAAGAAAAAAGAAAATGAATTAAAAAGAAATTAAAATGAACAACATTATCATTTTAATGATATTCTAGACCTAAGAAGTTGAACATAGCACCTTACCACCTTACCTTCTGAGGCGTTCCAGTGAAGCTAGTAAGATAAATAGCTAGTTGGATGAATAGAATTTTTTCCTGACATGTATTTATCTATCAAGAAAAATTTAACCAAGGTTAGAGCAAAGACAACTAATTCTTTTACTGTTCAGTTAGAAGGTCATTATTATGAATGAAATGGCAGTTACAGGAAAAACATTAAAACATTACTGTTGAAATATTTATGTTAAAAAGACTCATAATTTCCCATTTTTCAAATATAATGCAGGACCTCTAACAGTATTTGTACAGTTTACTTTTTGAAAATATGAATGACAGAAACAGTTAAAGGGATGTTACCATCATCAGTCTTTGTAGTAAAAATCCTAGAATTTTCTCTGTTGTAGAGCATATTCATATACAACTTCCTATACTATTAGCAACTTCCAGTTAAGAAATATCAGGCTACAAGAACACATACTCACGGAACTCAGTGTGACTCAGACTCAGAACTCCAAAGAAACAAATCTGTAGCTAATGCTGTTTCTTAAAGAAGTAGGGGAAAGTGATTTGGTACATAACGTTATACAACATCATAGTAGTTAGGGTATTTGTACAAGAATAAAGAAATTGACATCAGTGTTGCTCAGCCTGAGATAACTCAGGTGCACATCTCATGTGTCAAGACTGTGTCAACTACAAGGTAACAAACTCAGAAAGATATGCAGACAGAAGTTATTCTCAATACTCTGAAACAGCAAATAACCATCTTGCAGAAAGTTAAAAGATTCATGAGTGAAAGAGAGGGTAGGAACCCAAGAGAGGACATGATTTATAACTTACTGCATTGGCTTTTGCCTGGATTTTTGCTCTAAGAACTGTTGCTCTATACTATCCAGTGGCTGTGCAATTAAAAATCTAGTTTTTTGTAGCAGGGACTTTAACCCAGATCTTCATTCAGGTGAGAGCTATGCCCAGTCCTCATTTATTGATTTACTTCTCTCTAGGCCAATTAATTGCAATTATTTTCTGCATTGCAGACCCAATTTTAAAATATGGCAGAGGGTCCTCACCTGAATAGATTATAGTCTATTGTTCAGGGAATTTGGCAGGTGAGACTTTGAAGCCCTAGATTACAGATTTGGGACTAGAGTTGCTGTATTTTTATCCGATATATAGGGAAGTGATGTAAATGGAGATATTGGAGTAGTGGAGAGTATCATTCTAGACGTATCTTTTTCTTAGTATTACCTCTTGACTAGCTCTAGCAGCTTCTGTGCTCAAGATATCACTTGTTTCAATTGTTTGCTGAAACTTTAATAATTTCCAATGCACTGTTAAGACAAGCTAAATGCCTAATATAGGAGTCTAGATTCTTAGAGAAGTACCTGAAAATAAAGTATTAGGGAGGTTAATATATACGTTTTTGAAGGGGAGGGGGGAGGGCGCAGGGGAAGATCTAGCTCAAATTCTGATTTAAATGCACGAAATGCCAACTCTTTTTTGGAGGGAGGAAGAAAACAGAACTAGTGATTTTAAATCAACTCAAAACACTTATATTTTCAGCTGAATTACAGTACCACAAATGAGTGGGTGACACAGTAGGACTGAGGAGGATAATAACTGAGTAAGAGTTAGAAACAAAGCAAAATGTGACATTGACTCTAATCATATTTGTAGGTGCATCCACTCATGGACAGAAGCCTGAGACCAACTGATAAGAAGTGATTTATGTCCACAGCTCAATGCCAGTTTCATCTTCTTAAACAAGTTGGCCTTTCTACCACAGTTGTTGGTTCTAGGTCTCTCCTTGGCACCCCATGATGCTCTTCAAAAATAATTAAAGATAATAATATTAATTTTAGTTCAAAGAATCTGAAATCATTTATAGGTTCTATTGCAGCAAGCCAAAGTAGTGGTCTTATAGCATGAAAATGAGGCTATGTATTGCATGCCCTGAGGAACGTATATCATTTGATGATATTTGAGGGTGAAAAGTCAGATAAGTTTTAAAGGTCTAACTTCTTTCTTAATGTCCTGCTCTTCTTCCTAGAAGGTTAGTGTAGGACTGTATTTTTAGGATGATGTAAGTCAATTTAGCATGAGATATTTAGAAACAGGAAGATTTTTTGTTTTGTTTTGTTTTTTTTAAGTGTAACCATCTGGAATACCAGAGAACAAGAAAACAACTTTCTTACAAGTACCACAGTGATATATTGAAGGTTGAATTGTTGAATGGTGATTCAACACATTAAGATGTGTTGTCAATAGCTGTTTTAATGACAATTTTTAGATCACTGTAAATTCTAGATAGTGCCCAAGAAAGAAAAGATGAGTAGACAGCTCCGAGAAGTAAAGAGAATCCAGAATTTCTTATTCACAACAACCTACCTTGGATCTACAGATTGGCATTCCCATATGATGATATGATTCCTTGTGGGGTGCTCTGCCCATTGTCTAAAGTATGGGGGCATCATTTTGTTCATCATGAAACACTACAACCAGGGACTTGTCAATTGAATATTTTTGTTATGGTACTCACATTTTTTATGCTAATTGAGTGACTAGCTCATCTGAGAAAGAAATGATACTATGATAAATACTATGGTAACATGCTATGATACAGTATTCTATTTTCATAACGTTAGTCATCTAAAATGAGATATCTGGCTTAAACTAATGCTCCAGACATCCTTAGTAACTAATTGATAGGCACCATGAGTAGATTCATTTCCAATTTACAATAGATGTCTAAAATAGACATAATGAATTTGCCTCTGAAATTAACTAATTTTTACACTGATAATAAAAGTCTAAACTGACAGCTTAGACTAAATATTTATTTTTTAAATATATAATGTTATATAAGGAAAATTTTCCCTTCAGTTTTAAAAGTTCTACAGTGATTAATGTCTTACTGTGGAAGAACACACAAATATGAAAACAGTACTACTCTCTTCACTTGAACAAATATCAGAAGGGGAATTCAGCTCTAAGACAATTAAAATTACCCCTGAAACCTTCGGGAGATTTTCTTACTCGGAATATAGTGTAATATAATTTTAGAAATTAATGTATAGTTTAATCTCATTTTAGAAAGAATATTTTTATTATACTAAAGAAAATATCCTATCCTCTCTATCCTATATGGATATATTTTATACATATATCCAAATTTTGTTCTTATGATCCTTCTTATATTTCATGTTATGACTTGTTGTTACTCAATGAATTACTTAGTTTATTCCTAAATGCCAACTGAACAAAAACTGCTAATCAACATTAAAAGACTTGAATCGGGAATACAATAAATCTATATGTTTTCTTTCTGCTGTTAAAAAGAATATTTTGAATAGAATGCTCATGATTTTTTTTCTCCCCTAAAGAGAGACTATAATTCAAGCGAAGATCACAAAGAATTACTTAGCTTCTCACTGGACTTTTTTTTTTTTTTCGTTTTTAGGTATGATCCAAAAACCGATACATGGACAATGGTGGCTCCACTGAGTATGCCTCGAGATGCTGTTGGTGTCTGTCTCCTTGGTGATAAATTATATGCAGTAGGTGGATATGATGGTCAAACATACCTGAACACTATGGAATCATATGACCCTCAAACTAATGAATGGACACAGGTATTTATGAAGTTTGATTCGTTTTCTTCTGTAAAATATTTTGATAGAACTTCATTAAAGCGTTATTTTTGGAAAAAAAATGTAACTGAAGTTTACATAGCTGTAAATGTAGTCCTAATATTTTATCAGCTGTTATATTAGAAGTTTCCCCTGAAGAAAGAAATGACAATTATCTCCTAGGAAACTGGAGAGAAAAAAGCAAACACACATATATGCACGCACGCACAAGCACGCACACAGACACAAACAGAATAAGCAGTCACTAAAAATAATATCTTGTTATCCATCAGATAAAATTTTTATTCTGCTGAATCTCTGTAGAAATTTTTTTTATCTTTCTTCATGTAGATGAAATATCATAAAAATTATCAAAACTGATCTGAAATTTTAACTGATGACCAGCCTATCCTGAAGATTCTTCATATGAAGACAATTTATTTTATGTAGAGAGTCAAATTTTCAGTTCATTCTCCTGTTCCATTTCTTTTTGAATGGACATTTTGAAATGTTGGACTATATATATATTCCAAATGTTGAACTATATATTAATTAACAGGTAGAATGGAAACTGTGGTATTGGGCAGGAAGCTGAAGAGTGGTAATTAGTTTGTAGAAGGAATGCATTTTATTATATCTCAGTAGTGCTTGAAAAGATTTGCAACCATAGCAAAGCCTTAATAAGAAACAATAGAATCTTTTTATGTTGTATTTGAGTTTTTTGGTTGGTTGGTTGGTTGATTGATTTTTTTTTTTTTTTTTGGTGTTTAATTCTGTTTTAAGACTTTCTGGAAGGTAATAGATATGATCATTATAGAAGTTTTCATCAGAATTAGTCACCTTGAGTTCCCTTTAAAGTCTGCGTTAAAAAGTACACGCTTTGAGAGCGTGATCTCATCCTAAAATAACGTTTTACAATAGGATAGATGAATTACACCCCACAAGTGCCTATTTCTCTTTAGGATTATAAAAGGCAGATGTATTGTCAGTCTTAAATGTAGACATAAACTGTGTAAAGTTAATGAAGAAGCCCATCGTCTTTTTTTGTCTATTATTAATTAAATGACAAGAGAGTATTTTTATGATATTCTGTAGGATATGGGCAAGCCATATGAAAAGTTTATTTTCCAAAATCCACCAGTCCACATAAACAACATGACTAACTGCATTAAGACACCAATCAGATAGTTAGGCAACATACAACACCTCTACTTTAATATGCACAGTAGCATTGGTTATAGTGTGTTATTATTATTATGGCATGCCATAGGTGCTGATGCTCGCATGTTAGTTTCAGCAAATGAAGAGATTCAGTCTCCTACAACTGTTTATCCTCGTGGCTTGAAATAATATCTAAAGCTGCTAAATTAATTTGAAAGGAAACTTGAACCGATGTAGGAATACTGGAACCATATGATTTTGGTGTTGGTAACCTTGACTTTGCCTCAGGGACAGAAACCTTTTGCTTATCAGTGACCCACAGGAATTCCTGAAGTCAAGCATCTTCAGCAGAACAGAAGAGAGCTGAAGCTGTAGCCTGAAAGAATATTGCAGAGACCTTGGCCTAACTTTTCATACTCTTAGTGAATTTCTCCCAGAACTTGATCACTTGCATACAGCTGGGTATAATAGTCTTCCTACTGCAAGATCTCAGTAAATGGAAACCTGTCAAGTCACTCTAGACAAGTTATCCGCAAGTTCAGTAAGCTGCTAAATATTTTCTGTGGAGGTTTTTGTGCATAGGCACAAATCAAGTGATTTCATAATTCACAAGAACTGAAAAGTATGTAGAATAAATAATAACCCACAAAAACTTAATTTTACATTAATGTAATTGAAAGTAGTAGTATTTACAGAAAGCAAATTCAAATTTTCCCAGTGGAGGAGTTTGTTCTCTTTTCAAAAAATATAGCATTGAAAGATGATATTTCTTCAATAAACCTCTAGGAAGCTAAAGATATACAATTACTTGTGATTCAGCCTCTGTTAGACTGAACTGTATCTTACTTCCTAATAAAGTAAGTTTTACTTACTGATAAAGTAAGTAAGTGCTATATAAAGTTAAATACACACACACACACACACACACACACATATGTAGGTGGGGTGAAACTACACTTCTTGTGAGGATCTTGAGGAATGCAACAGGGAAACATATTCATCTCTGAACTGATAAACAGTTGACTAAAAAATGGTTGATAGTTGGGTGATTATTCACTTTAGTGTGATTTAAAGGCCACAGGTTATGTCTTGATTTCACTGATATTGCACTGCAACTTTGTCTCTACATCTGCAACAACAAGTAGGTAACAACTATGCAACGTAAAGCATGTAACATCAATTGCTGAAAAGCTGAATTACTTTTAGACCATGCCGTTGAAAAGACACATAGGGGCCATGGTTTTTGGATAATTCTTGAGCCTTAGTGCTCCTCCTGAAAGACCTTGGTATAGAACATCACTGTCAGCTATTGATCCTCTTTGCTAAGCTCTGCCTGTTCAATGAGGGACAAACTATGCCCTCTAGAATCAGCGTTTCAGGTTTCAAAAGCTTCATTATGCATTCATTTACCCAGGCTTTACACTTCATCCTTAGCATATTAGGTAGCTTTTTAATAATTACAGTTCTACATGAACATGTGAAAAAAGGCAGTATAAGTGCAATGATGCTCTTCATTTTCCACTCATGAAATGCAGTGATAACGCCTACACTTCTCACGGATTGAAATTATAATAGATCAGCGGAGTACAGTAATAATATTAAGAAAAATCATTTTAGAGGTAGTTTCCCTCACATACACTATGGTTGCAATATTTTTTGCTTGTGTATTATTCTGCAGGTGAAAACTACCTGAAAGAATTTTTAAGTAAAAATGTTACGATTTATTTTGAAGAATATTTGCAGATCTCAGGAACTACTTATTTCTTTTACATTCTAGTCTGCCTTCATTTTAGCTCTTACTTTTTAAAAACATCACTCCACAGGAAAATTTCTTACTTTTCTTTTAACTAATGTCCAACAGTACATCAAACTGAGTAACTAAAGCCCAACAGTACATCAAAAGCTGACGTAAATTAATGTGTTAGAAAAGAGTAGTCTTGCACCTGAACTGCAGCACCAAAACCCAGCAGTTAATTTCTTTCTAGCTTGTGATAGGCTCCCTGTGTGACTTGGTACAAAATCGTTATATAACGCACTATTTCTTTATTTGTAAAATGAAAATAAAAACGTTTATTTTTCTCCCAGCATTCATAGGAAGAGCAAGGGCCTAGTACTTGGCTTCTCACATATTATTCTAAAATTCTGATTAACACTTAATTATCAGGTAAATATGATGTTATTTCAAGAATTTCAAACAGACAGTAGGGTTGACAGTATTTTATAAACCATTACCGTTAAGATCGGGATTAATATTGCCAACTTTAAGGATGGGGTTCACTGGGAGAGTAAGGAAGGGTGGGATTCAGCTCCACATGAAAACACCTACATTTAGATAGCTGTCCTCATATTCGATATGTTAATTCAATACCGTTAATTCATATACTGTTAAGTTGCCCAACACAGGCATCTAGTGCACTTGAGGCCATCCCATATGTCTTTCAACTGCCTACAGCAAAAAGGGACAGATCTTCTACAGCCTCTTTGCTATATTTACTCGTGCTGTAATTTTGAAATAGCATTTTCTACAGCATGTCCTGTGGCAAAGCCCTTAATCAGCAAAGAGGAACCTGGAGAAAGTCAAGCGATCAACTGCTGGATTTCAGCTCTAGATATCTATATCATCTGAGGTGCTATGGAGTCTGCTGCTCCAGAAAGGAAAAGAACTTCCACGGCTCCTAGGTCCCATGCAGGTGGTTTAGATACCATAGGATTTCCCAAATGGCATAGGATTTTAAGGCAACTGAATCCAGTCTTTGATATTTACAGTATTGTAATCTACATCTGAGATAGTCATTTTAGCTTTTCTTTATTTTTAGTGGCTGTCTTCAACAGCTAAATCTTAAAGTATATAGTAGATCAGCTGTTTTCTACTTGGATATCACATGAACTTGTGTTGTACAGATTGCAATGTGCCAATCATGAGACAACATAAATATTTAAAGATTTATTAAAAGTTATTCAGAGCAATGGAAATAAGTCCCATAACTTCCAGGGAATATCTAATATACTGTGAAAAAAGTGATATATCCACTTGTCCCACTTTTAACCAAATTTTCTAAGAATGGGAGATAGCGACTTTTTATTTGTATTTTAATTTTTAAATGTTTCTAAAATTTGATATTTATTTTAAACTAATTATTTACTATACAGATCTTCACTGAAACCTGTCTCTCATATACAGACCTTGCAATTAAATGGAACAATAAGACACTTGTCTAAAATATCACTGAAAATATGTGCTATAAATAGAAATAAAATCCACATCCACTATGTCATTAACTGGTGATAGTTTTAAAATCACATTTTCTTCCTGTTCTCACACTTTCCACTGAAAGATATGAGTAAGCAATTTTTACAGTACAACACTAGGATATTAGGGTCTTTTATTTACTTTTAGCCTTTTATACTCCCATTAACTTAGACCATTCTAGAATAATGTTGGCACAGCACTTCTCTTTCTTGCATGACTTCCTCCTATTCCATTAATTTGTATTTTTTTTTTCTGCAGATGGCTTCCCTAAATATTGGAAGAGCTGGTGCCTGTGTTGTAGTCATCAAGCAACCATGACTTTGTCAGCGCTGCTTAGGATTTTACTGACTGTGAAATAATTATTTTTCTATCAGACAACAAGAATGATAACTTCCTGAGAACAAGGATTTACACAGTGAATACTCTGTTGATCACAAACTTCAAGAAGTTTGAAAATGAGAAAGATTAAGGATTTATGCCCTATACAATCATAAAAACTGTTTACAGTCAGTGAACAAGAAAAAAGTCAGTCTGTTATAGGAATAGATATGTGAATACAAAGGAGCAAGTTCAGATACTGCTCTCAAGAATGTGTGCTGCAGAGCTGGATAATCAAAAGCACCGAAGGACAGCACTACATAAGGATCAGGAGGGAATGGAAGAATAGTTTTCATTGCCTCGAGAGTTTCAACTGTAAAAACATCAAAGTACATTTAGTCACTTTAAAACTGTAATTTTTAAAAGAAATTAGTAGAAAATATTATAGTATTTTTCTGTTAAGGTCTTGTCTTCAAATGGGTTATGGCCTTCCCGCTTAGACATGCAGTTCAAGGGAAGAGAATTGGTTCTTACTAAAGTAAAGAGGTAGCAAAGTCTGAATATTCTACTCTCATTCATAATGATTAAGCTGTCTTTTTATAGTCTCAAGAAAAGCAAAATTAAAATTAAACCAACAAAAATAATTGTTTTGGTAACTTTGGATTGTACCTCCCTGTTGGTATTTCACATCTTAAAACTGAGTTTATTGAAGGCGGAGCCCAAATGTTGGGGCAAATTATGCACAGAAAAAGCAAATCTTTAGCTGCAGTGGCGCTTTGTTGAAAATGTGGAAGTCAAAGGAGCAGTTTTGTAGCTCCTTCTTATTCCTGTATTCAGTTTAAGCATGTGGGCTCTGATCACGCTGTTTAATGCATCTTCTGTATGTTAAAAGCCCACGAAGGGCTGGAAACCAGATCCTGTTACTTTACTGATGAACTAAGGACAAAAGAGACCTGAGAATCCCTTTTAATTTAAATTGACAGCTCCTCATTATATTTCAGGAGGGATAAAAATACTCTTTTATTTCTTTCTGATGTTTCCACATGCACATCTCTGCCTGATTATGGCTACCAATTTTTGAGTTTCCATTTATGACTGCGAATTACTGCAGGTAGGTGATTCAGAATGTATGGAAGTGGAGTAAGGCAAAATTAGACCATTTGCTCTAATAAATCTCACATAATAAATATAATAGCATCATCTGTGCTTCCCTTTCGGATTGATCATTTCTGGCAGTAAAGGTACATTAAGCTTTTGCCTTGGCACGAGAGTTGACATTAATGTTTTCTGTCTGCTCAGCTGAATCAGTTTGAATCCTAAGACCATTAAGGAAATAGGAAATTCTGTTATTCAGGAAGGGCCAGGCTGAGACTAGGCCTACCAAATTCATGTATATTTTTTTCTTTAAAGCCTTGCTGACCCTTTAAGAAACATTTCATGGTCTAAGTATAGCAACCTTACAGTACTCTGTTACTACCAGTTTTGGGGATGAATTGCAGTTATAGATAACAAAGCTTTCCTAGTGGAAAAGCTTTTTTAGACCATTGCAGTTCTAAAGATAAGTAGAGCTTTATGCTTGGGACATTTGATTTGTAGATGCATCTCCTTTTAACAGCAGAACAGCAATATGCAGTAGGAAGATCTTTGTTTCCTGACACAAACTAAACTTTGTTCTAACATATAAGTATACTGTTGGGTTTTTTTTTTTTTTCTGCATACTTCTCTGTAATATTTTGAAACCAGTTGTGAAACCTTTAGTATTAGTTTTCCACAATCAATTGGGTTTTGAATCGCATTATTGTCTCTTTCACAGACAAGCATGTTCATTTTCTCCCAAATTAAATCCCTAGATTAATAGAAGGTGTTTCCTCTCCACAAATCTTGCCTCACTTAATCTTCTGAAGGCATGCCCACAAGCTTCTAGAATTATAATTGCAATTAAACATGAAGATGTTAAAATTCAGTTCTCCTATATGGGTACATGATGATCTTACAAATTTGATATTAATTCTATTTTCAGAATTTCCTTTGAAGTACATTGTTTTCATGCACAATAGAAATAGGATTATGCTACCTATATACTTACCGTCAAAAGAATTAAATTTATTCATAGCAATGACAGATATTTCTTTTCTGTCTTGTTTTTATCCTTAATTTCCCCATTTCCATTTTTAATTTCCCTTTATTTTTCCAAAAGGAAAAAAAATCTAAAAAAAAATTAAATTACTCCACTTCTCTAAATCTGAAAAAACTGTGAAAGAACAAAATTATTAATTTATTCTATTTACTTTAGGTAAAGTCTAGGCACAATAAGAGCACAGTCTGGCCTTCAGTTTATTTAGGCATACATCACTATCTTATGGAACTTCCTAAATAGAACTGAGGGAGAAATTTTTGGTAAGATTTTAAGTTTTTCTTTGTTCTTCTCTTATTAAAAAAATAGTAATTTAACCTTTGACTTCAAAGGAAACTGATTTAAGTTAAAATTGTATATTATCTTGAGCTTGACTTCTACGATCCATTAGGATCCCTTCCTATGTATATGAGTTAAAACCACTTGTGATAGGCTGTGTTATGATAAACAGTATTATCTTTGCAGGAAAAGTAGCTGTCTTTCAAAAGATAGATTCTCTCTTTGTTATTAACGTAGCATGATACCTCTTTTCCCAAATAATCCCTTGAATTTCATAGTGTGGAAAACACAGCAGACTCAAAAGTCCAACAAATACTAAATAATTTCAGTTAAAAAAAGAAATATGTTCCTCAATATGTTTATTCTAAATTTTATAGTTTAATAGATTTATCATTTTCTTTCTTTCCAATTCATTTTTATTAGTTTCAGGTATTTTTGTTCCATCTTGTCAACCTAATCTACTAGAATGTCTTTATTTTGTGTTAGCCTGTATTTCTATACATTGAGGTTATATTCATTTTGTTCTTATTGCTGCCCATCCTCTTATAGGTACCTCTTTTCTGTAAATCAAATAGTTAAAGTAAGGTCCTTAATGATTTCAGAGAATCTTGATGTTTCTCTGTTTTCTGTCTGAAAATTGCCTTTCATGTTGTTTTTTATCATTTATTTACTCATTTCTTCCTTGCTCTTACTGTTTTTCAGGTAGGAGAAAGGTCAAGGCCCTGAGTGCTAGAAAAGCTATTTTTTTTTAAATTGATGAGTTTGTGCAAGTTTTTATGAAAAAGGAGAAAACGATATTGGGAGAAAATGATGATTCTTGTTTCCAGACATTTATTGGTGATTGTTAGACGTTATTTCTGTGGGAATCTTCCTATCAGTGAAGGGTTCAGTTTTATTAAGTTCAGTTTGTTTTGGATTTGTATTCAAAAGACAGTGGCTTGGATGGACACAAAGAAAAGCAATCTGTACTCTTTCTTCAGACTCCCTACCCGACTCTTTCCAAATCCAACAGGACAATGTAGACCAGTACTAGCCAAATGTGATGCAGAATTATTTTGTTTCATTGATTATTTCTCTAGTGAGGATAAAACATTTGCTGCTAAAAATACTGTTAGCTGCTTAAGTGCTTATAGAAACGATATGTAAAAGGTAAAATATGTGAGTGCCGCTAATGAAGGAATAAACTCATCAGTGTTATAGCTGTGGTAGTGTTGTTAATGCTTATTAATACAGTTAATAGAATTAGATATCATAGACTCAATTACATTTCTTCAGGGTTTTGGCGAGTTGTCTAGCTAAACAAAATCAATAAAAAAAATAAAATTGGTTCACTAGTTTTCAAATGAATTAACATTCCTAATTTTAATTCTGCTCAAAATTCTAGGTGATTAAACACCAAGAATATACTTTTCTGGAAAACGCTTGAGGCTGTATGAATATAGGATTCAAATTGAATTCAATAGAAGAACTCAGCAAGCAAAACAGGCAAAAGCAGATCTTTTGCTATGACTCTGAGAACACTATTTTCTATGTGTTTCTATCAATATAGCAATGTTACAAAAACCAGTTTACAAAAGAGAGACTAACCTTGTGACCCTCTGTTATATATAGTGCTACTGATTTTGACCTTGTAGTCAAAGTTATTTTACCTTGGACCCTTCTTTTAAATTACTTTTTACATTTACAGTTTTTGTCATTGATAGGTGGATGCTAGAAATATAGTTACTATTCATGAAGGATCTACTTAGAAAATATTGTTTAATACTCATTTCTTAGTAGAACTCTTTTATTCTGGATATTTTAGATCCAATTTTATCGCCAATTTGTGCATTGAAATTAAAGTCAAAAATAAGACAACAAAAATGCATGTAAGAATATTGGTAGTTGTTTTTAATTATAAATATTACATATTTGTCATTTAGATTATTACAGTCGAAATGCTACTATAGTAAAAATGCTACTATAGTACTTAGTAAAAAACTAAGATTTTTAAAAATTCCTTTTATATACAAGACACACTTTTACTCATATATGTAACGCCTCAAAATTTTAAGTCAATTTAAGGATGCTTTCAGACAGTTGCCTGCCTTATAATGTTATTATGATAAGCTAACATTAGTTGACATATGGGAATCATAATGGCACAAAAAGAAAAAAGATAATTTTCTTGAGTACCATTCTCTTCTACAGAACACTACCATCAAAAGAGCATTATTTGCAGAAGTATTCATGTTAAATGTTTCTAGAAAGCTCTGTAGGAGAATCATTATTCATATTATTTAGAAGGGCCAAACAATTTCCCTTGGATATATTTACATAGTTATTAATGACTTCAAAAAAAATAGCTCACAAATGAAGTGGAAGGTATGTAAATTTTAACAGATCAGACCTTAATGTGCATGAGTAAATGCCAGAAATGGTATGCGTGGTAATTACCATGAAGTACAAACTTTCCCTATTGCATGTGCGCAATGGACTATGCATTGCTGCTGGAATGCATGCGGTTACTGAAGATTTTACATGAATTATTTCATTATCAATAAATAGAGAAGGCATTTCTGCGAAGGGTTTAAACAAGCTCTTGTAATTATTCTTAAATAGCAGAAGTAAAATTACATGAAAGTTTCTATACTGTTATGAAAAACTTAGACATTTAACTATGTGCATGTATGAATTTTCATGGTACCTGAACAAATATAAAACTATTTACTTATTTCCACAGCCTGGAACAGGACATGCTGCTTTTTGCCATCAGTGTCTCCCATTTATATTTCTATGTTTAGTTTATGTGTTAAAAATCCAATTGTATATTGGGTCTATGTGCAAGAAACTACCTTTGCTGCCGTCTTACTCTTCTCCCCTCCCCACTCCCCAGGTGCTTTTTATATTACAGAGGCTAACTACCATTAGGCACATTTTCCCACAAAATTGATTCTGACAAAAGCAGCAAGTGTAATAGTGCAGCATACTGGTAACCAATTCTTACCACTCTATATGCAAAGAAGTGGATGTACATAACAAAAACAAAGAAGGCTTATTCTTCTTTTCTAAAGTAAAACTTTTCTGACACATCTTCAAAGTTTTAAACTTCTACACATTTAAAAAAAGAGATCTAAATATTTTAAAATATAAACATTTCAAACAAGAGATCTTTCAGCTATGCACAGATTACTCCAACTTTGCAAAGCAGTATGTCTGGCTATGCACAAGTTTTCACGATCCCAACTATCACATCCAAATCTCTTGTAGGAGTGCATGTTTGTCAATGCCTCTCATTGCCTCCAATTTTTTTTTTCCAGTGCAAAGGGCATTTCGACTTAAGTGATTAAAATATTGGACACAATATTTACTATTCAAATTTGAAACTTCTGCATGGTATGCATAAATCTGAAATCAGCATCCTAAATTTTTCACAGAGCAGGTTTCCAACCTTGATAGAAATTTGATTCAGTTTTTTTTTTTTTCTACAAAATATAGCATCCAATGCAATTTGCATAATATTTATCAAAATACCACAATAGAACTACTGTGAGAAGAATAATACAGTGGAATAAGAGTATCTAAGAAAAATAAAAAGAATATTAGGGAAATAGACTCTTGTTGCGTGCAAGAAGACATTCCTTGAAAGGATTATATTTTATTCTCAACAGAGGCAGTTAGATTTTAGGAAAATAACTTTGCAACCAATCTTCTAGCTCATAAATTGACGTACTGCTTGAAAGTAGTCAGTTCATGTATTTTTTCTTGTAAAATATGGACTTTGTACTTTCACCATAAAAGAAGAAAAAATGTTCTTTATCCATGGCAATACATTAAATCTCAATACTGAAGAACAGTAGCTCAGATATACTTAGAAGTCAGTAACTAGTTACAATCTTTAAATTCTGGGAATGTTAAATGCTTGGAAATTTTTGTATCTGCTGTACCAAGAAGATGTGTAATGACATACACTAGGTTATATGGGCTCATTGCCAACTCAGAAGAGAATCTTAATATGTAAGTGTAACTTCAGAAATTCTTCTGAGAAAATAGATTAGTCATGCAATATATCTGCTCTAACTTAAATGAGAAAGTATAAAATATTCAATGGAATAATTATTCTTCAGCCCTATTCTAAATCTGGTTTAAAGCTGCTCAGATTGGCATAACCTTACATTTCATTGCAAATTCCCTCATTATAGTAGTAGATAGTATATGAAGATTAGATACAAGTAGGGGCAGAGAGACAGCTCAAAACCTTTAAATCAGCAAAACTTCTTTGATTTCCATATGTGTAGAACCATAACTGTTAGAAATTGAACCATAAAGAAAATTACTAGCAAAGGTAAAAAAATGCAGTGGCAGAGAATAATATAGTCTGTAATTGCTGAATCCTAAATTTCTGGGATCTAATATCCACAACTTACCTTTGTGGATCTATGGAGCTCCCAGATCTGTCACCCTCTAAGGGTTTGAAAAGCTGTTGCAGCAGAGCAATAAGCAACTTCTTCTGTCACTCCTTTTCCCAGATTTTCCTTAATGAGGGCAAGAGGCTTCAAATTAAAAAGCCGCTCTTTCAGAAGTCAAGTACTCCTTAGACTCTGGTGTATGAACTGGACATATTCAGTCTTTTTCACTTAGTTAGTTTGTATATAAAGTTTAATGTCCTTATTGAAGCTCTAATGTCCCCTACAAAAGTCAGTGGAGAGAGTTGCCTTTGAAAGTCTCAGGAGGGAGATCTT